TAATAGAATAGATTTTCCATTAATATTAGACAAATTAAAGCATTTCACAGTTAATAGTGAGAAAAGTTAATTAAGCAGGAAGCAGATTTCACTGCTGTAACTTTGGACTCATGCAGAGTTAATAACATTGTGCTGTAAGCATTCGCAGCGCAGTAAGTAGGAAGAGAATGACTAATGGTGAAGCACAAAGACGTCACCGGGCATGTCCACTAATCATCATAATCACGTGCATTCCCCTCACCTTAATCTATCCTAATCCACGCTCCGCTCTTTAAAGGCTGAGCTCAGCGAGGGATGCAGCTCCCGAATCTCACTTCGCTCTTAATTACCGACACAGGAATTAGAGAGGAATTACACGACACCCCTGCCTCTTTCCGTTGCCTCCCTTTGGTGGGGGGTACTCAGGGGACTTCATTAGGTGCTGGGAGCCAAAAACAACACACACCCACCCTGCATGTAAAATGGGAAGTCCTGACTCATTAGCCACGGCTTTCTGTGAAGCTTTCAATAAGTGTTTTCATAGAAGAGCCTGTGATTAACGTGATGTGTGACAATATCAGTGCTAATGTTGTGAGAGACATGTGTGTGTTTATGAAATCATGACATGTTGGGCTGAATGTGACTGAGAGTCTGAGGGACACTTATGCTCCTAGGCTAATGTCAGAGTCAGTCTGTTTATCGTGTTTCTGGACAAAGATTGGGGAAAAGATTTTATAAAATAAACATCATGTTGTGTTCAGTTTAGAGACTGTTTACCAGGGTGGTGCACTGAGGGCACTCATCGATAACTTTGGAGTCATTCTCCAGCTGAAATCTATACAAACACAAGTTGTTTTTTGCAGCCGACGACCTGCCGGCCATTTTCATCTGTGCTTATAAATAAACAGCACTGTGTAAACATGCTTTCTACACCTGGAGTCAGGGGACGTGAGCGACTGTGATAGTGCTCAGTGATGCATCTCGCAGCTGGAAGCTTAGTTAGTAGACTGAGGGGGGGTTTGAATCATCACTTGCAGTCGTAACTTTCAGAATAAAATCTGAGCAAAAACATGAAAGTTTGTGAGTTGAATTTTAGCCCAAAGCTCAAGAGACCAACTTTGTATATCCTGAACCATATAATCATGTGATCATACGAGTTCTGGCTAAAGCTGTGGAGACGACTCGTGTTGTCACATAATCTACATCGTAGAGCTCCAAATGCAGACTACAGGAATACGTAATATGAACCATACAGACTGCATGTTCTTCAAATCAGCGTTACTTTGAATCTCATTCATGCATGTCTCTACTTTACTATGTTTTATTGCAATGTCAGTGTTTCCTTGATCCAAGAAGACAATTTTCATTATGTTTTTGCACATAAATGTTGATCGAAATAAGAAAAGGACTGATCAGATATTGAGCTATGATCACACAGGCATTGAGCTGAGTGTCACCTCAGTTCATTTCCCTTCTATAAAGGCAGAAAACCCTCAAGATTTCTTCACGTCCAAAGACAGAACGTGGACACAGACAGCGGTCGCGTTGTGGACCTGTTGGTGTAATCAGTTCATTCCTCTGACATGTCGCTGATCCCAAACAGCCTATCCATTCACAAGAGGTGGAAAAAGTGGGAGAACGAACAGGCCTGTCAATAAAACCAATTTGTTTTGACAACTGACACAACAAAGGGATGTGAGGCGGTGAAACACCGGACTCCATGTCAGCCTGTAATTTAATGCTGTCAGCTGCCACAGAAGGTCCACCCCCCGGCTCATTAGAGGTGCAGCAGCTGAGCAGAAATGCGCCGCGCTACTTCTTTCTGTGAAGTGATTTCTGTGGGCTCACCTGTACCCGTCGATGAAGCTGGCATTGATGTAGTCAGAGCCCTCCACCCCTCTGATCGGCTGCAGGCAGACGCGAGTAGACTCGAAAGGCATGATGTTCACCAGGCGGTTCTTGAATTTGTTGCACGGCAGGTTGGCACTGATGAATCTTGAGGTATGTGCTTTAGAGTTGGCCAGTTTCTGCAGAGACAGAAGAAAGGACAGGTGATTGCAGCTACATGGCAGCATCCACCGTCTATCATCTGCCTCTGCTCTTTATAGTGCTAATCCAGTGTGGCACGTGAGCAAGGTTGTTAAAGGGCGCGAGGAGCTAACATTCGCACTTTGAGACGAGCCTTTTTTTCTCCGACTTCAAATGAATGTCGGATACTGTCGTGTGTTGAAGCTCATCCTGAAGATGCTGAAAAGTCAAAACAAATCCTGAAACATTTAGCGTGAGCCGACAGGCCTGTGACAATGCAGATCAAACCAGACAAATAAGATGTTTGGAGTCAAACCAAGCTGCATGAATGATTTCATTCTCAAATTTTTCTTTTCAGTGTCGGTGGGGAGGAGGTGTTTCTTTACCGA